TAGTTTATAGGCTTGCACCGCTTACGTTTAAGTAACGATTTGGAAGAGCATATATTTGCATACAATATATGAAATTTTAAGAAAATCCTATAGAATAGTGGGTTAGAATTTAATCATTTAAAAACAATTCTTGACAGTTTTTTTTAGTACAGGCTGTATTTAGCACCTGTGGTTATTGTTAGTAAAATGTCTTTTTGGACTGCTTTGATGCGCGTTTATTGGTTTTTATGCAATAAAACATAAAGGTATTAATTAGTTAATACGAACTATATGATTTATTTCTTACTAATTCATTTGGAAGAGAAGAAATGGCTATATTTTTCATTTTTACTTCTGAGTGATTGAAATGAGTGAGTTCACACAATATCGAATATCATGTTGAATGTCATGTTGAATCTCATGCGTAATTCACAGTGGTAATTAATTGCAACGTTTTAAGTTTGAAAGGGGAAATACCTAAAACGCAACGGCTATTTGGTAGCTAAATGTTCAGGTAAAGGGACGCTTTATATGATTTAAAATTAATGTTGAAGTTAGCGAAGGATTCGCTTTTTTAAAATATGTTGTTATATTTTATATGTAAAATTGAAAGTACAAATTCGTACTGAGAAAATATTTCGCTGGCATATATAAATATATTTAATAGCTTTATGAATCATGTTATTAATATTTTGGGCTTCCTTGTTCCTTCTTACAAGCATATGTTCCGTGTAACGATCACTGAATGGAGTACGTATTAAACAGAAGCGTTTTGTGATTCTTGGAAATCAAATCATGCTCGAAATCATGCACATAAAGTAATATAATAGTAAAGCAAAGACTGCTGAAGAGGTATGAAATGGCTTTATTTTTTAATATGTAGTTTACTTTTATCATAAAGTGTTACTTGAGTAAAAGAACGACATAGGGCACATTGCAGCTTAATAGATTGACAAGCAATATGCTGGCAGATAGTCCAGTCAAGAACCTTCAGTAAATTGTCTGGCGATCAGAAAGGGTGAGCTATTAATAATAAGGGTGTGTATGCATTGGTAAATACACATTATATACCAAATTAATCTTCATTACATTGGGGGAAATTGATAGAACAGAAAACAATAGTGAAATTAATACTGAATTTTGTTTTCATTTGAAAGAATTTTTAGGGCCACATTTATGGAGAATTATGATTCTGGGAACTATAGATTCATAAATTAAGGTGCAATATAAAGTACTGAGTAATAAGTGCTTTTATGCTTTAATCCAAGTACTTTGAAAGGTCATTTTGGATGTTTATTATAATAGCTTTATTCAACAAATCATCCTGGTTAACCCATTGAGTCTCATTGCGCCCTGATGCATCCCATTTACTCTGTCTAATGCCTGGCGATTTTACTCGTCAAGGGGGAGAGCGCTGGTACTTAATGGGTTAACTGGTTTATCTACTCATGTATCTAGTTTTAAAACCCATTGAGTCGCATTGTGCCCTCATGCATCCCACTTTATTATTTTACTCCGTCTAACACCAGATGATTTTACTACGTCTAACACCAGATGATTTTACTTCGTCTAACACCAGATGATTTTACTTGTCAAGGGGAGCTAGAGCGCTGGCCGCTTAATGTGTTAACCGAGCCAGCTAGCCTGGCTCCATATGAACAGACCGTAATGTTAATATTAGACAGTGAATTTCTTACATTCATGCACGAAATCTGTACCGCATGTGGTGTAAAATTTACTACAAGAACAAGGTGCAGAAAGATTAATATAAAATACTTAGGAAGGGCCTGTACCGGGTTCCGAAATCCCGCCATCCCGACCAATTTTCACTTAAATCCTGTTATCCCGCCATGCCTCATGCCAATTTCCCGTTCCTGCCTTCTTTTTTCTCACACTGCCCAACTACAATAGTCGTGATTTGGAAGTAGCCAGGTTGAAGATCTTGGCAAGATCTTGGAAGATCTTGCATGATCTTGGAAGATCATGGCAAGGTCTTGGCAAGACACTAATCTTGGCAAGATCTGCCATACTTGCCAAAATCTTGCCAAGATCTTTCATGATTTTTCGTCATACATAATTCTTGTTGAATTGTATTTTTCGACCTTCATAAGTATAGGTATAATGAACCTTGATCAAACCAATCACATATATCACAACATTGCCAATACTCTATCACGATCTTGCCATGATCTTGGAAGATCTTGTCAAGATCCCACCATGATTTTGCCAAGATCCCACCATGGTCCTTGCCAAATCTTATCACAATCTGGCCAAGATTCTATCATAATCTTGCCATGATCTTGCACAATCTTGGCAAGATTCCACCATGATCTTACCAAGATCATATCAAAATCTTGCCAAGATCCT